TTTCTATATTTGACTTTTGGTATATCTTCTCCAACTTACTCCTAAAAATGTATACCTCCTATAGAGTGGAGATAGATTAAGCCTGCACTCCCCAAGCTTGCCCAATTCTGGGAGTCACTTGGGGTACTTGCTGTCTGTACAGATTCTCAGACCCCTCTCCTTGGAGATCCTAACTCATCTAGGAGTCTGGGAGGGGGCTCCAGAGTCTGTGCTTTAAAAGCCCCAGATGATTTTATCATCAAGCAAGTTTAGGAAGCCCTGAGTTGACTATCCCAGTGTTGTTCCCCACATCCCACAGGTTTTCATCACTGTCAGGAGGGGCTAAGAGTATTGAGGTCCTGCCATGAATACGGTACAGTGGGAAGCCATGGAAGGAGAGATAAGTTTCTGTCTCTGGCCTAAAGGATCTTTGATCCAAAGCATCAGGGCTCTAGGCAGGACTTGCCCTTAGAGGATTCAAAGGACCAAACCCTTAAAGCATGTATTATTTATGGAAACACAGTCACTCAACCTCCTCCCCAGTGAATGTTGCTTTACTTTCTTCTTCAATTAAAGCCAGTCTAGAAAGAATTGGGAGTGATATTTACACTCCCCTTAGGAAAATGGGGGTAAACACACCTAATACTTTCTCCTTAAGGAAAACACTTAACTAATAGAGCCAGGAATTACCGTACACCCTTGGTACTTGGGGAAGAGACTTGGTGACCCATGTCCAGAAAAAAACTTTCTTTAGAAAATGTTTCTTTCAGACAAAGAAGTACTTTTTCTGACAAGTCAAAAATTAATATGGAAAAAAAATCACAGGTTTTCTTTAAGGGAGATTTGTTTTATTCCAAAATGTTAGGGCCTTAAAGAAAAAGAAGTGAATTTATTTATCTGAAAAGAAAAAAAAAAAGAAAAAAGAATTTAAAAAATCTATCAATGGTATTTTTCAAACACTATTGGCTCAAAGAAAGCCTAGGAAAAGAAGCATTATTGCTAGAGTGGTTCTGAGCTTTTTGATTTATAATGTTCTCAATTCCTGGGGGAAGGGGGTCCTCTGTTTTTTGCTTGTGATGCCTCTTTAAGGGTCTCCGGTCACTACAGCTCCATCTAGTAATTGCTTGTTTACCTACTCAAAAGGATAGCTCAAAAGTCCACGACTGCCCTCGGAAGACTTTCTCTGACTTTCAGTTCACGTGGTTCCCGTCTACACAATCACCCAGTGACTCACCATCATCCACCTGATAAAATCTAAACTCCATAGAACGAAGCGCAAGCCCCTTCATGATCTCACCCTCCCCAGCTCTTCCAGACTCATCCGGGACTAACCTCCCTGCCCCAACCACCACCAGTCCTTGACTACACAGCAATACCAACTTCTTTGATCATTCCTCAGCACTTGTGGGTCTCCCTGCTTGGAAAACCTGCTCCTATACCATTCCTCCTCTCCCCTCTGTCTGCAAACTCTATGTATGCTTCAAAATCAGCTCAAGATGATCTTCTCTGTGACGCTATCTTTGACTTAGGAACATGGTCTCTACACCTCCGCTGAGCCTCATACCTACTTCCATCAGGGCATTATCATATCATGTCATTTCTGTTCATTATTTGCTTTAAATCTATTTCCAAACAAAACTAAACTAAACCCTGCTTGAGAACAAGGACTGTGCCAACTCATCTTTCTAGCTCCAGTTTTGCTTCAAAATAGAGTACTCAATGCAGAGCAAATGCTCAATGCATGTCTGAAAACGCCCACAACAGTGAAAGAATGAATGAATCAACAGGGTCAAGATAATTTACAGGGAAATAGCTGTCAGAGCTGACCCTAGCTAATTGGATGGTGAACATGTAAGCAATTAGCCTATAGTTCCTATAATACCCCTACTTAGGAACAAGATCTTGTTTCCAGGCTTTTAATCCATTAAATCTATCCTTGTACCAAGCAGCTGGCATCACATAAAAACAGGTTTCCAATACCTCTGATCAGTCACAATCTTAGTCCTGAGCCACTTGTTCGAACCTATTTCATACACTAAACCCCATGTGTTTCTGATCCTTCTGGCTTATGACCTCATTACACAATCTCCTGTTTACAACCTTATTACATTCTTTAGTCCTGAACTTGGTCTTGCTTTTCTGGCTATGGCCTGAGTTCTTCTCTTTGACTAGAACTTGAATTCTGTCTTTGCATTCATGGTTCCCTATGAGTAGGTACCTCTTGGCATCCAGCCTGTCCTGAGAAATCCTTTGGTTAGAACTCTTGCTGGACTCACCGCAGCCTTCTGAGTGGAAGACAAATACAAGGAGTGACCTCAAACCACTAGTTGAGGGAAACTGACCCCTGCTGCAAATTATTAGGAAGAAAGGGGAGAAAGTGGAGTCAAAACCAATCTATACCTCATGTCAACTGGTACATATTATTCCACTGTAGAGTTATATGAATTCATCTCATCAAAGATTTAACCTCTGATAGTCAAGTCGTTCAAAAAAAAAAGATGCATTGAAATGAGGAAAGATAAACATATCTTAGAAGAGTGTAGAGACAGGTGATAAAGCGATAAAGGAAAATGGTGAAAGAAAAGCAATTTGGGATAATTACCTATGTTGAGGATTTAAGGTAAAACTGTTTTGCACCTGATGCTGAACCTACCTAGAATCTTACACAGGCTGGCAAGAGTGAAGGAGTTAGGTTTGACGAGTCATTGCACTAGAAATGGGAAGGAGAGAAGGAGATACTGGTGGTTAAGAGTAAAAATAATTCAAGTCAGGAAGACCTGGGTCAATGTGGGCAACCAGAGCTCAGAGCTCTGAGATCTGCCCTTTTTAGGCAGTGAGACCTTGGAGAAGTTGCTTAGCTATGCTCTTTGCCAATTTCACATCTATAAAATGAAAATAAATATATTTAACTCACAAGTTGTTTTAGGGGTTAAATATAATAATTAATGGAGAGTAGTTGATGCAATATTATTTGAGAATGTGCCTATTGTGCTGATGTGTGCTATGTCCTAGGAAAAGATGGAGGCTTAATTTCTATTATTCTCAACAGTGTCCATGTATAGTTTATAGGCTCAGAAAAATGTCGGACTCTCCAATGGCCATAGCTATTAGATTATAACTGATGAACCAGAATATAATTTAACTTGTTTGTAGTTTCCTTTTCTTCAACTCAGCTTCCCTCCACTTTGCTCAGGTCTGCTCTCTTGGATGCTGTTATACTTTTCATTGCAACTATTTAGACAAAGAACTTGGGGACATCCTCAATTCCTCTCTCTCACTCCATATCCAATCTAAGAGTCAGTTCTCTCAGTTTATCACCTTCACTGATATCACCAGAGTCCAAGTTGCCTGAATTATGGCAAAAGCCTCCTAACTAGTCTTGCTGTTGATTCTACTATAGTCTTTTCTGGAAAAAGGAGCCAAAGTGAATCTTTCAAGACATCTTTCAGATCCATGTACTTCCTCTGCTCAAAATCCTTCATTGGCTTTCCTTTTCACTCTGAACAAAAGCCAAAGTTCTTTTGATGGCCTACAAGGCCCCACATGGTCAGGCACCCTGCTCCCCCTCGCACCCTATCTCCTTCCACTCTCCTTCTCCCCTCCACCCCCTGCGCTCACTCCACATAAGCCGCACAGGCTTCATGTTGAACTTGGAACATGCCAAACACATTCTGGCCTCACAGAATTTGCTCTTGTCTGGAACACTCTTCATCAGGATATCTGTGTGGCTTCCTTCCTCATGTTTCTGACACCTCTACTGAAATACCACCTTATCATAGAGGTCCACCATCTTAGCCTGGGTTTCCCCAAAAGCAGAACCTGAGACAAAGGTTTGAATGTGGGTAGTTTTGGGGAAAAATTGATCCCAAGGAATGGAGTCAGGAAGGAAGGAGAGAAAGCTCAACCCAGGGTACATTAGTAACCTGGTCAATGTGGGCAACCAGAGCTCAGTCTGGCTAGGTCCCTCTGGGGATCACGAAGAATGCTCCACAGAATTGTCTGTTCAGAAGAGAAAGAAGAAAGTATTTATCTACTAGATATCTTTTTAATTGGTCAAATGTTGCTGAATGGAATGTTACTTTCCTTGAGTAAGTGAGCTCATGCATGTCCCAGGATGATGAAAGGGAGTAAACTCAGTGGGGCAGAGAAGCCCCTGTACAGAGAGTAGAGATACAAGGTACAACTAAGTTGAGGTGCTGTTAGATAATGCCTATGTGAATCTGGCTATTGCAGCAAAGAGTAAAATAAGAAAGATGATTGAGACCATATGAGACAGGGCTCAAGACTTATCTATACTTCCCTAACACCCTTCTCCAAAATAGCACCCTGCCCCTACCCAGTCACTCCCTATCCCCTTATTACCACCCCACGTATTCACTTGCTTATTGGCTTGAAGTTCTCCTTACTAGACTCTAAACAGCATGTGATCAGGGGCTTAGTGTACTTTGCTTACTAACAGTACTCTCAATTTCTGGGATGGTGTCTGATATGTAGAAACAAATATTATTAAACGAATAAATGGTTTAGAATCTATCAATTGATATGTCTATATCAGAGAGAGAGAGATGTGTCTAAATATCAAGCTATTCATAAATAGTTAAGATGTGTTGATGCTTTTTTGCTGTTGTCTTCTCTGCCCATCCAACTTTTCTTGCAATCCCAGATTCTGCATTTCCCCTAAGTGAAGTTAAACCAGGTGTAAGCCCGTGAGTGTCAACAGAAAGCTTGTTGATGCACTAGACCAGTTGTTCTCAAATGCTAGCTTGCATCAGAATCAACGAAACAGAGTGCCGGGCCCCGTGTCAGCGCTGGCTGGGACCTGAGAATGTGCATTTCTAACAAGTGCAGCGGCTGCTGCTGGTCCAGGACCATATTTTGGGAACCACCACATTAGACTGTTCTTACAGCCCCTTAAAGTGGGCATCTTGCCCATTACATAGCCTGGCCCACGATTGGTGAGACCCAAGGGAAGAAGCAGGTTTGTTTCATTTAAGCTGCTACAAAGCCCAACAGAGCCCTGCTTTTTGGAGACTTTACAAGGTCACCATTCAACATGGGATTTACTTACTACATTCAGCTAATCCCGATGAAGAGTTCAGGCCTGTTTAAGAGCTCTCTTTACAGTCAGCTCTAGGACCATATTTTTCAAATAAACCATATCTTTCTTTAATTGGCATGTCTAAGTAGAAGCAGCAAGACAGGATATGAAGACCAGAGTAACAACAGTGAAAATCTCAGAAATCATGGGGAAAATGCAAAAGGGCAATCGTGATTTGGGGGCAGAGTTCTTTTATGCTTGATAACTTTGGAGGAATCAAACTGACTTCCTTTGAAGAGGGGAAGAAATCTCAAGACAAGTAATTAGCTCTCTATTCTACAGGAAAAGGTAGTTCACTATTGGTAATGGCCGGCTGCTACTATTGCTTTTAATGTCATAGTTCTCAATCAAAACCAGCTGTCAGCTGCACTAATTTCAATGGGTGACTTGGGGATCAAATCAGATGACAGAGACAGAGAGACAGTGTGCCAATAATGGATCTTTGCCTTTGCTTTCTATGGTGGCCACTTAGGAGGTGGTGGGAGACACAGGATCCTTTTTCAGAAAATTAAACTTCCTGTGATTTGCCCCACCCTCCCACCACCTTAAACAAATTCGGCCAGATTATAATATAGAGTCTATTTCTGGGTTAGATTTCACTGGAGCGAGAATTTTTTTCAACAAATGCCATTTGTGATTCCATGAATAGAAAATCTCTTATGGCACAAGATTAACAAAGCTAATTATTGGAGAAGATAAAATTAATTTACTAGCTGAATTTAACAGACTCGCTGATCTAGAGAGCTGAATCTCTCTCTAGCTGAGGACATTTTTATTCCTATTGGTTATGATGAACTTGGGAAATTTCTTCAAAGCTTATCCTAATTCCAAAAAGTCTTCTAAGCCTTATGCATTCTGAAATTCTGGTGAAATTATACATCATTTTGTTTACTAAGGGTTTGAAATTGCAGTTCTTTACTAAGGCTTTTTAAGTACAAAGGTGCTTAAAGTATAAGATGCATATATAGAGATATATACAAGCTATAGATATAGATTCTATACAAAGATTCTTATAGTATAAAGATGAAATTCTCAACCAATGGCTTTTGAGACAAATTTGAACCATTACAAACTGTCCTTACAAGTCACATCTGAAATCCCTGCAAATTCTTAAAATCATACCTCCTTCTCAAAGTTTTACAAATATCATCTTATCTTTAAGTGGGAAGAGGGGCGCCTGGGTGGCTCAGTCGTTAAGCGTCTGCCTTCGGCTCAGGTCATGATCCCAGAGTCCTGGGATCGAGTCCCACATCGGGCTCCCTGCTCAGCGGAAGGCCTATTTCTCCCTCTCCCACTCCCCCTGCTTGTGTTCCCTCTCTTGCTGTCTCTCTCTTTCTGTCAAAATAAATAAACAAAATCTTTAAAAAAAAAAATAACTGGGAAGAGCAAATAAAATTGTGTAATGGCCCTTTTAAAATAATATCTAGAATTCTTTCTTAGCCCTTCTCATAAGGCAACATTTCGGAAAATGTAACCTAAAATTCTACAAAGCTCATAAAGTTATTCCATTTGTCCCTCTCCATTTACATTTCCTGCCAAAAAATTCTCTTGGGAAACTTAACAATACCGCTTTCTTTCATGCCATCAGAGACTTGCCTTCATAGAGTTTGCATATGTGGGTTCTGACCCATCAGTTCCGGTCGCTGTTGGATCAGACACTCTCACAGCACACCGGAAATCCTGATGGTCCTGTTCTTCTAAGCAGGGAATGGGATGGAACACAAACTTCCTTAGTTAACCACTCACGAATGACTATCTCCCGTTTACAGTGCATGTTTCAAAATTGGAGACAGGTTGCAAAATTTGAAAACAGGTGTGGATCATCAAGGTAGCATCCCTGGCAGTGCTTCTGTGATGTGATGTGGTTCCCTGAGCAGTCCCTTCTAGGGGATCCAGGGTCAAAGGTGTGGCCCAACGAGCTGCAGGATCCCATTTGGACTCTAAAGCAGATAAAAATATGGACTGTGAATGCTAGCGCAATCCTTTGGCTAAACCCACACAAGAGCTTTTTCAGTATAAAGCAAAATGCGTGGACGTTGAGTCTACTTCATTGTAAACCCCCATATCTCAGCACCATTAACAGTGAAGTGGTGCCTAAGGGCCAATTCAGAGCAACTCCAGAAAATGCTTCTTGTGCAAAAAAGCAACTCTCAGAGCAGGATACCAGGGCTTTTCCATTTCATTGTTGCTGGTGTTGTGCTCATTTTTGCAACAAATAAGAAGCAAATTGCCCACTGAAGACTTCTACTAAGACTCATTTTTTTCCATGTGCTTGAAGAACCTAACTAGTTTACAACAAATAAAAGTTCAAGTGTGTGTATGTGTGTGCACGTGCGTGTGTGTGATTTACATATTAGATGCAGAAATGGTTGATGGATTTTCGTTGCACATTTAGAAGCCAAATGGTAATGCTAAGCCACTCCACACTGTAACACGCCATGCGTCCCCCCATTGCAGGGCACACAGAGCCCTTAAACTCTATCTGATTCTACAAGTGTGGATCTGGGCCAGAGGGCTTCAGAGCAGCTTCCTTCTATGTCCCCAGTGGGGGAAGGACCCTCTGGGGGGCTGACTGCCATCTAATATAAAGGTCTCCAGAGGAGCAGAGGTAGTGAGTAATAAAAGGCTGACATTCAGAAGTGGCTTTTGCCCAGATGCCACAGAATCTTCAGGGAGCCAATCAAAATCTTGAGAATGACTTTGGAAATTTGCCTTTCTTTGGGTTCCCCCTTCTTCTTAGAGAATTTCCAGGCTAAACACAAGATTTTTGTAGTGTTTATAGATTGGAGACTTTCAACCATGGACAAAAAGTAAAATTCCTGGAAACCAAAGAGAATTGGGTGGCATCGGGGAGTATGGAAGCAGAAATTAGATGGAAGTTAAGTTTGGAGGTCTGACCCAAAAAAATGATCTGGATAGCAGAACACAAAAAAATCTTGGTTTTTATTTAAGAACATATTATTGGCCTTAATGAGACAATGGGGCAGGAAAGGGGCACAAAGCCATGGGAACCTTGGCGGGGATGTCAGACTCTAGTTTCTGGAGATAACGAAGGGTAAATTTTCTAGGTCTTGAGTTTCTCATCTACAGCAAGAGAGGCTGGCTGGAAATCTCCAAGTTTCCTTCTAGCTCTGAAATTTGATCATTACAACTCAAATAATTTATAATTCTGTTGCTACAATTTCAAAGCACCTGCCCTGATTTCTATGAGAGCCATAGTCAAGGGAACATAAACTATGTGCTGTATCCCATTTGTCCTTACTCCTTAATATTATGGTAGGCCCAGGGCTCTAAGAATATTTACAGGATCTGCTGTTTCCATTCCTGGCTCATAAGCCAAGATAAGTCTTGCAGAATTCACCATCCATTTTGTTTCTGTGGCTACGTGGAGTCCCTTGTAGCTATGAAAGATCATCTGGTAGATTCATGTCATAAGACAAAATGCAGTAACGAGATCCAAAGTTTCTTTGCCTCTCACTCAAGCCGAATATTTATTATAAAAATAAACATATACGGTTTAGGTGCTTCAGCCATCTAGGCTGTTGGTATGTAATCTCCCAGATGGATCCCTCACTGAACAATTCTATGCTTTGTCTAGTCACTAGGAACCTGGTCTCTGAATTTGAATATGAGCTATCTAAAGAGCATTAGCAATGAGCAAAATAAGTTAGAATCACGGGGCTCATTAGTTGCCTATTCTGATCAACTCTGGGCTCTATTATGTGATTTTTATCGCCCTCCTGCTGATTGAAAGTTGGTGGGGGAAATAAACAACTTTATATTTGAGCAGTGCAACCATTATACATTGAAATGTGCATACACAGTGGGTATGTGTTAACTGAATAAATATTAAGTGCTTACTACATCCAAAGAATACCTGAATCTATTAGAAGGTTACGTTTTTCTTCACCTTCCATGAGCCCCAAGCCCCGATGGATTTAAGGAGAAAAGAAATGTCTTTTAATATTATTTAATCAGCCAGCCATGGCTCTATCTTAATTCTAAGCAAAGACCTTCTGACAAACTGCTGTTTCACTGTTCTCAGGGTACACATAAAGTGGGCTTTTCCCATGAAGCATACCTAAGCCTCCTGGGCCCATGATATAACTGGTGTTTAAAAGGCCAGATGCTATTATTCCGAAACATGAACACACGCTATTGCAGATTGCTGGTACACTCACACACACAAGCAGAGGAGTCAGCCCCTCACCCTGAACGTTTTTACATTATTGGCATTTTGCAGAACACGTTCTACTTCTCCACATTTTAATTCGGAGCTGCAGCTAATCGAAGCACATGCTTTATCCTTGGCAGCCACACACCCCAGATGTGCAGCCCCTGGAAGGGATCACTGCAACAGTGTCACCTGGCTATCACCTTCCCTTACCTGGTTTCTCCAGCAGATCCCAAAGCAGGCGATGCTGTGAATCCTGCCAGCTTCATCTACTTTCACACTATGCTCTTGTAAATGGGAGAAATTGGTTCACGTTAGATGCTCTGAAACAGAGAGGGAACACATTGCAGAGATGATGAATTTGCACTTTGAAATAATTGAGAAAATGCGCAAGACTTTTCCATGCCTTCACATGTAGTAGAATGTTCTGTTCATAAATAAGGGGCTGGGCTTAGAGACAATAGACAGATGTATGACCTGCTCTGGAACAGAGCTGAATTCTTAATCATTCTGCTATACATTGAAATCACACATGTTGGCGTGTAAAAACCCAACCATGGGCTCTCCTTAGACAAAGAACCATTGTTCGTGGTTTGGGCCCCAGAGTCTCCTGGGCTTCTGTGGTTCTAGGCACAAATGGTAATTCAATCAGTTCAACTACACACAAAATAGGAACGGATTCTGGCAGATTGCTCAGTTTCAAACACATTCAACCCCGATTTGAAACAATTTTGCCTGATTTTCATGGAGGCTCCATGTTAATAGCTTGCATCACTTAGCTATAAGGACAAAGCACTGATTTTCTCTAGTAGTTTTGGTATAAAGAGGAAGCAATTTCTGTCCACTCTTACGAAATCAATTGTCCTACATCCTCATGGTTGTATTAACTAATGGGCACAATTTACTCCAAACATCTTTGAAAGTTCTTTGAAACAAGAAAATGAAACAGAGATGTTTTAGAACAGATTGGTATGGTAACTGAATCTCACTTTCTTAAAGGAACATCAGTATTACTCTCATGTATCCCAGAACACTTCCTCTTATACTTTCTCATGTTGTCGGTGGTGTAAAGTCGTTGCCCAAAACAGTGCAGTGTTGCTGAAGACAGTTATCTATCCTTGTTTTCCAAAATTCTTCACCATTCAGATTGATGGTAATATTTAGTCAACACTGAAGATGTCTGGTGTGGTGGATGGATTCCGCGGTGTGCTACGCCTCAGCTCTTCTGTTTCTATGTGATTTTGATAAGATACTGACTCTCCAACCAGTGGAAATGACACAGATGTCACTAGGTGATTTGAGTTCTCATTTCAACCCTGTCAACTGGGGGGTCCCAAGCAAGGCATTTAATTTCTCTGGCCCTCAGTATCTTTGTCTATAAAAGAGATTAGCAATTTTCCAAGTTCTTGAGCACAAAAATTAATTTATTAGACAAAAATTCCGATATATAAAACAGATGAAAGTCATTCAGATATTAGCTTTCATTTTTCTAAGTTCAAATTCATACGATGTTGACTAGCCCTCCAGTAACCCCTGAGACCAGATAGATGAGAGAACCTCACTCTAGGTATAATGGAAACTTCAAAGAATGTTGATTCTCTGAAGATTTTATGCAACTGCTTTACCAGCCCTGAATGTCCAACCTCTGGGATTTTTATAAGAGAATAAAACCTTTAATGTTTAAGCCATAGTTAATTTAGATTTTCTTTCCATGCAGCCGAATCTAATTCTAACTAAGCAAGTTGTGTCCCCCTGCCTACCCCACTCCCCCCCAAAAAAGTTGAATTACTCTTGCATTGAAAGTACTGGCAACAGAGGAAGTAGGTGATTTTCTGTGCAACCTTACCTTCCCCACACTTTCCTTGACCAACCCCATCACTGAAGGTCTTACTATCTTCGCCACTCTCGCTCCCTTGTCCAGGGCTTAGAGAAGAGAGGGGAAGTTAGAATTGGACAAAGAGGAGGAAGAGGGTGAATGCTTACAAAGGAAATAGACCGTCTAAGTTGGGGCAGAATTTTGGAGTTATACACCTTATCCAACGCCCAAGTTCCTATACAGCTTTTACTCTGTAAGCTTTGATGAAGCATTACTATATAGTGGGTCATGTTACTCATGTAGAGATGGGTAAGACATTACCCATGCTCAAAATGAATGCATAAATTAATGGGGTAGCCAAGCACAGAAAGAAATAAGGGCTAATGCTTTGCATCTTCCACCACTACCCCCCGCAATTGGTCATCCAGTTTCTACTCATTTTCTGTGACAGGCTCTCATTAGTGCCTGCCTCCCACCTGTTCCCTTCCACGTGCACACAGCACTAACAGACTTCTCCATCTAAAAGACCACCCCACCACTCTATCCCCTTTTTCCTTGATAGCACTTTGCACGTTCTGACCTATGTTATAGTTTTTTTCTCTGCTCACCGACTCCATCCTCCACGGAATGAAAGCACTATGAAAGCAAGAACTCTCTTTTGTCCACTGCTCTCTTTCCAGTGCCTAGAATAGTTACCTGGCACATAAAGTTTTCAATATTTATTGCATAGCTGAATTTTAAGAAGGTTCTTTTTGCTATTGAGCCAAACCATACCATGATTACTTAAATTGATTTTACTTCACTGCATAGCCCGGATTCACTCTGTTGTATTTCACTTTATAATAGTGAAAGAAAGCTATCTATATTGACTGCTAATATCGTGACAGTAAAATGAGGTACTAAATGACAATGTCTTTCAATCAGTCCTTCGTAAGCATTCTGAAATCACATCAAATCACTTTAGTATCTTTTCCACGTGACAGTTCATCCATTACTGGGAGGCAGATATTAGCTTTCATTATCCAACCCTACTGCATCCTCACCAACAGTATCTTATTCAGCCTAAAATTTTGCAATTCCTTAAGGTATTTCTCATGTGGCTTATCATATCGCTTCATCATTCTTATGACTCCCTTTCCATTGTACCCTAATTTGCCAAAACTCTTTTAAGAATGCAGTGTCCCATTTTGAAAGTAATGCCCCCCTCCAAAATTTTGTGTAGCACGGTGTGGAACAAGACTCTCAAGTCCCTTTTCTAGATACCATGTTCCTAAGAGATATTCGCTTCTCTTCTTGAGCCATATTTTCCTCTTTCTTATATCCTAAATATTATGAAACGTTTAGTGTGAATGTAAAAATGACTATTTAATGGTTGGTTCCGTCCAATCCCTACCAGAGAAGCCCGGAGGAAGCAGCCTGACCCCCAAAGGGCTGAGAAGCACAAGGCTGGGGGAAGCAGGAAATAACTAGCCAGCCCAGAAAGGGCTCCCATTGGGAAGGAGGAAACTTCATCTGCTGCACAAAGTATAATCGTATGCAAATTACTATGGCTTCTACAAACACGTCTCCTAGGAAGTAACTAGCCTGCCTGTTCAATACTGACAAGTGTCTGAGGCTATTTCTGCAGGACACCAAAACATCTGGAAAAGAGGTAAAAATCGCCCAAATGTTTGAGGAATGGGAGAAATTGGTTCAGGGAGGTGGGAGCTGGTTGCAGCTGCCATAGTCCTTTTATGGCATTTTTATAAGACCTCACTGAACTTCTTATGTTTCTCTAGTATCTCAGCTACACACACACACACACACACACACACACACACACAGATCTACAGACCTGTGAAACTGTGAAGGACTTCCATAGCTTTTCTAAGGGAAGGGAAAGGATTTAGGTTTTTATCTTCAAGGTCCACATCAATGAAATGCCTCAGTTTGAGATGAAAGTTGAAATGGAATTTGGATTTTAATTTTTCAGTGGCTTTGAACCTTCACAACTTTTTTTGGCCTTAGACCAGAAACATGTTGGTTCCCATGGTGACAACCATCAAGCGCCTGTTTCTAGCCCTCTTAACTTGTATTCTGTCAGTTGTCTCATCTGCGGCTACCTGATCTCTGAGATTCTCTTGTGCTCTGTGATTCTGGGAGCCCGTGATAACACGGTCGTGGTCTCATGATACTGTGGTCATTGCTTTTTACCCAAATCTAACACTTTAACATAGTTCATAGAGTGAAATATTAAATTAAACATTAAAATGATGTTCCTCCATGGCATTCCCATTAGTGGAAGGACTTGAGGAAGAAAAACTATAGAGAATTATATATGGGTATGTCTCCATAGATATATACTTTCCTGCCAAAAATTGTATAGATTCCCTTCACTTTAGTTTACACTCGGTTATAATTGATTTTCCAATGGGAAAGAGACCTATCACAGTGGCTAACTGAGTGGGAAAGTCAATTCAGTCTTTTTTCTTCCTTTATTTTTTTTGGGGGGGTCATGAAGAATCCTACTGTGATAATTAAGGAAATCTCTAACGCCACTGAGGATGGGAAACTAAAAGAGCCTATTACAAAATATAGAAATTTATAGCACCACCTATTGGTTTCAAAATAAATATTGAATTTTTTCCCTACTTTTAATAATTATGAAGAATAGTATACAGTGACATGATTATTTTAAGTCTATGAAGATTAATTTTTTTTTTTTTTTTTTTACTTTCTAACGAGTGATGCTGTGGAAATTTCTTAAGCAAAATTCATAGTCCCGACTACTGCAAACTAAAGCTTTTCTATAGTAGGGAAATAAAGTAGAATTGAGATTTTTATTTATGCATGACTTGTGTTGAGTTGTATTAAATTTCTTAAGTCACGCTTTAAGTATTATTTCTAAACTGATGAAGTGTGTTGGGCTGCATTTTCTCTATTGGCTAACTAGAACAGAGGAGTTAAATAATGTCTGGCTTTTAGTTTCACCTATCATGTCTCTCCCTAAAAGCTGGAGGAGATGCTGAAATCTCTGAAAAGAATAAATTCTCGGGGCTCCTGGGTGGCTCAGTCATTAAGCGTCTGCCTTCGGCTCAGGTCATGATCCCAGGGTCCTGGGATCGAGCCCTGCATGGGGCTCCCTGCTCCACGGGAAGCCTGCTTCTCCCTCTCCCACTCCCCCTGCTTGTGTTCCCTCTCTCGCTGTGTCTCTCTCTGTCAAATAAATAAATAAAATCTTTAAAAAAAATAAAAAAGAATAAATTCTCAGAGCATCGGCTCTTCCAGACTCTCCCTCAGATATCTGATCTTTATTACCCAGTCCAGCTTCTGTAACAATGAGGGGGCCTTCACGGTAATCTCAGAAATGCTCCCTTTCCACTCTGCTTTAGCGTGCACCAGTCTGCCTCCTTTTCCAGAATGCATGATCCTTGCTAGGAACCACTCTGGAAAGAACCACTCTGTCCCTTTCCCAAACGTTAGGAAGCATATGGACAACTCTCTATGGAAACACCCATTCCCACCCTTGGGACGACTTGAGTATCTAAAAGGATCACTGTCAGAGCTTATGAACATATTTCTCTCTCTGACCTCATTTTTTTTTACATAGATTATTTTAAAAATCAGATTTCTCTTTTTAAGACTTAAAGGGAAGTAAAGGTCTTTTAGGTATCAAACATGACATCCTGCCCCTACTCTTCGCTGTGGACGAATAATCTGGAAAACCAAACTTCATACAGAGTGCCTCCGCATAGAACTGAAGGAAAAACAAGCCCATTTAGACCTCACATTAAACACAGGTTTTAAATAGTTTCTCCCCATCTAACCAAATATTCACTTCTCCAAAATTGCAACAGGCATTAAAATATGAAAACTGACAATATTTGAAAGCAGAGGAAAAGAAACCAAACAACACAAAAATAATACCAGATTTTAAGATGAGACGATCCGAAGAAAATAGAAGCATTATCTTCAGGGAAGGGATGATTAGGCTGAAGTATATAAAATTACATTTTTGTAAAAGTCAAAATTGTCAAATCATCTAAAATTCACATGATTCAGTCTAGTATGAAGTGAAGGGGGAAAAAAAAACAATTCGAACATGTTTGGAAACAAAAATGAAAGAGAAGAAAAGAGCCAATAATGTGTCACATGATTCGGATCGGAAGAATTGGTGTTTTGGGCTTTCTTAGCCAACACTGCGAGGCGGCTGCCCTGAGCTCCCTCCAGCACTGGTCTCCTGCTCTTTTCTTCACCATCATTTGCTGGTATTTTCATTCAAAGGCATTGCTTCTCACCAGGTTTCTAACAGGTAGTTGCAACTTGCCCACCTTTGAAAGACTAGCGGTCTTTAATGTCAGAGAATTCAAAACGAGAGCCATGATCTTACTGGGGGATTTTTTTTTTTTAATTGTTATTTTACCTTGTTTTTGAGATTTTACCAAGGTGGGGCATGGCCACAGCTTGATTAGACTCCGAATCCTTCAAGACCCATCTCATTTCATACTCCTCCACTATTCTAAACAGGCTTCACGCTAGGCAGCCTTCACACCCTCCCTGCGGGTCTCACTCGCAGAGCAAACCATAATAACACGCTTCCATGCCCTGGCTGGCTTTTTGGCTCAATGGGACCATTCTGTTGCCAAATCCTGCTTTGAGAGCTTCACGGGTTTATCCTTACATGCACCTCAGTGACGTCCGGCAGTTTGTCTCTTCCGAGCTCAGGTTCGTTTTCCGTGTCCTCTTATTGCTATTCGGGTGACAAAATGTCTACATCTGGAGGGAAAGAAACCCCTACTGTATTTTTTTTTTTTTTTGCCTTTTCCTCTGGAAAATATCATCCTGTTGTACACGCGGAAGAGAAAAATGTTAGTAATAAGAGAAGGAAATGAGGGGGTCAGCTGGGGCTGTTAGAGACAGTCCAGACAAAATTTAAAGAGGGAACTGTGGGGACAGTTTTTGAGAAAACTGGGTGATCCAAACTTTGAAACCTACAGCCCATTATCTGGACTCGGCTAAAACATACCAAAAAGCTTAGCTCAGACCTGCAAGGTTCACTTCTCTAAACATAAAATGAAGAAATGTGGAAGGTTTGCTCTTTCTCTTTAATAAAGCACATTAACAACCTGCTTTTGGGAACACAAATCTTTTTATGGAGTAAGAACTAGCTCTTTAAAAACGGGAAATATGTGTGGGGATGGTGTTTATTTATGCATACATAAATATACACACGCAATGATTATTAATATTTACATACACATACACGTATGGAAATAATTGTCTCAGAAAGTGGTTTAAATCTAGAAACAATTGGCAGACAAAGAAATGAAAACTGGGATTGGTCCAGTCTACAAAACCTACGAAACCATCCCAAAGGACAGTATTCCCAACAAGGGGGAGACTGATAGCATAATAATCCCCATAAAAATAACACGGGGGTGGAGGGAATGGAGGATTTTTCAGTATTTTTATGGATTCATAAGAAAAGTTTTAGAACTGAAATTCTTTCCAAATCAACTTTTATTTACATGTGCAAAAATAGATTGACAACTTTGAAAGAAGGGTAGGTAAGTGGGTGTCAGAGTCTTGGCAACTCATGAGAACTTAACTCTTGGGTGAGTGTTTGCCGGATGGAGGAAGAAAAAGACAGAAAGAAAGCCTTCCCTTCTGCAAAGATATTCCCACCAGGAACATGCCACTGTCCACTAACAGAGTCTGTGTTTTGTTCTGTCTGTGCAGGATTCGGGTTGATTTTTATCCCCATGCAACACATGCCATGGAATATTTACATGTTTGGGTACATCAACAAAGAGGAAAAAACAAAACAAAACAAAACAAAAAGACTCACACCACACACACACACGTACACACGCGCGCGTGCGCGCGCACATGCACACACGCACACACACACACAAAATGGGATTGTGCTCCTTTGTTTTGCATTTTCTCTAACGCAGATTGCGGTAATTATCTTCCTGGCTTTACAAGCCTTTTCTTTCATTCTAAAGGCAGTTTTTGGAATCATGTTACACTTAACTCAGTTTAACAAATAAGAGTTGTCTGGCAAAATGGCACCATGTGCTTTCCACAAATATTTGTGGTATAGGCAAGCTCTCAATGTTTTTATTATGCCCAAGGTTCTTTGGTTTTAAAGCAAGTGGAACAACGTAAAGGAGGGAGAGAAGCACGGATTTGGGAACTGGGTGTGTGTTGGATGCACTTTGCAGATCCTTCTGTGCCAGAGAGTGAACGAGGAAAAAGATACATTTTAAAAATAACCGGGGGAAGAAAAAGAGGGAAAAAGGTTTGGAGGCATTTAGCAGAGCACAATTTACCCTGGCGTGAGCTACAGGCTAATGATGGAATCATAACACTGGGAGCTCGCGGCCCCAGGAGGCTGACAATGCGCGCACTGTAGCTGGTGCGCGTCCCACGTTTGCCGGGCTCTGCAGTCTGGACAAAGAATTGTGGAAGAGAGGCAAAGTAGGGAAGGGGTGAGAGAGAGAGACTGCACACAAGTTTGCAGTAATATAAATACACATACGCTGCGCTGCAGATGTTCCTCATTGGCGAAAGCTGGCACGTAATTACGCTCTGTGCTTCATAATATTTTAATGAGCTTTTTCTCCAAATAGCAACGAAAATGAACAATAAGAAGCTCTTAGGGAGGGAAAGTTGGTGTTGTTTTTGTCCCTGGGAAAAAAAACAAAAAACAAAAAAACCTCTCATAATAGGTTATATTAGAATGGCAGAAAAAACACTGCTCTGGGTTTAATAAAACTGAATTGAGTCTAAAATATGGTTCTTGAAGCTGGTTTCCTTTTTTCCCCCCTTCATCTTTAACAGTTCATTCAGGCTAAAGAAATAACAAAACAGTGGTTATAGTGTAATTCTGGTTGATTGTTTCTCTCTCCCTCTCTCCCCCTTTCTCTCTCCCTCTCTTCCTCTTTTTAGGGGAAAAAAATCTTAAGTGGAACTGTTGCAACAATGTTGTTAATATATTGTGCCAATTAAAGTCTTGAAATAAATAACAAACCACTTAGTATGTGTTGTAAATGTGCTGATTTAAGCATTGTTATGCAGAGATTACATCTCTTCAGGGGATGGATGACTGGGTCCTGAACGGAGGTTTTCTCTTTGAGTGTGTGTGTGTGTGTGTTCCCTATTCTTCTTCTTTTTATCTTGCTATAGGGTAAATTCCAAATAAAAAATGAAGAGCCCACGTTTGTTATCTGCAATAAGGCAGCCCGGTTTTAGCATTGCTAACCCTACAAAGAAAATAATTATTTTTGGTTGTGTTCAGTATCTCATTAAAAACAAAAACAAAAACATATCTACAGCAAAATTAGAGTGTGTACCTTATTTTGAGACGTAATCCTTTGGATGGGTTCTTTGCACACAACTTTTTTATTTTAGGGTGAGCTGAATGAGAGAGTTTAGGATGTGAACATGTGAGTAGTAAAATTATAATAACAGTGAAGATGTAATAACTTCTGAACGTTATTTGGGAAAGGAAAACAAAATTTCTACGTATAAAATATCGTGTATGCAGTAGGCAGCACAGATACTGTCTTTTCTAATTTTTGGATTAGAGATCATTCATTTTTATTCAGAAGGACCATTTCTCATGTAAAAATCCTATCATTTACTGAGTTGGATGTTTTTATTACCTACCCAATAATCCTAACCTCCTCCCTCTTTTTATAAAGCAATTGTGGTAGGTGTATAGATGAAGGATGGAAGTAAATCCTCATTTCAGGGGGTGCATCGGACCACTAGGCTTAAGTAACTCAAATTTGTTTTCACTTTTTGCATTTTGACATTAGGAAATAACAAACAAAAATAGTGGACCCCCCAGGGATCTATCCATAAGAAAGTAACTTTTAGGAAAGTTCATTTAGAGACAACTTAATTGCCTCCTCTCTCTTTCTCTCTGCCTTTGGAATGTAAAATGTTGATAGGGAAGACTGGAGGCCCTACAAAACTCGCCATGCCCTCCAAATCAGAATTTAAATGAAACTGAATTGTGATGAGTACAGTTTTAGTGTCAAGTGTATTTTAATTTTTAATTTTTTTTTTACAAGTGGATACTGTATACATGACAGTTTTGTTAACTTAATTGGCCAGAATATGTTAACGATCTGAATATCACTCACTGCTATCCTGGATAAATGCCCTGCATGTGGTAGATCTTTATATATATTTATATACATATGTATTTATGTACTGATTTTACAAAGGAGTTTTCTGTGTACATAGATGAACTTACATGAAAGGTACAAAATGGGCACAGGGGGCTTTTGGTGAATTCTGTGTCCAATAAAGAGCCTAAAGATTTAGGCATTTTTTAAAGTAAAGCAGTTTGATAAGAATGAGTTAAGCTCCATGTGAGTAAAAGCAGTTAATTAAATAAGATGTAGTATCGCTGTGTGCTTAAAAGCATGGACTCGGATTACATGGAATCAAATCCTCGCTCGGCCACGTGCTAGTTATGCCATTGAGCAAGTTGATTAACTGCATCATTCTCAGTTTATCCACCTAGAAAATGGGGACGATGGTAAAACCTTCTTCCCAGTCTTGTTGTAAGGACAATATGAGTTAATATATGTAAAATACTTAAAACAGCACCTGGCACATAGTAAGTACTGGAAAAGAATTTGCTATTATCATCACCATGATTCTTACTATTTAATGAATCCAGGATGCTACTATTAAATCTCTCTGCTTATCAGTTGAACTGGGAATTAGAAGTCCTGGGTCTCGGCTCGGGCTCCAACATTGGGTGGCTTTGTGCTCTTCACTCAGCCCATCCCAGTCTTCTGTCTACTTTAGCTATAAAATCAGGGCGAGTTGGGAGATGACTCAGGAGTCTAGTTATGTGTTAGAACATAATCCTTTTAAAATAATTCAAAAGTTCTCCAAGAAAGTGGATGTGGATAAGCTCCGTCTAGGCCAGGGGGGTCGGGGAGCATCAAGTCTGTCCCAAGACACTGAGCCCGAGAGAATTTTCCCTCCTACAGGTAATGCGACTGGGTCCTCTGTCCAGACAAGGTGCCACAGTGTAAAATACTGGGGCCACCTTGGACAGCTGAGATCGTTACGGTGTAAGGCTGTGTTTAGAGTCCTGAGTC